GGGCGGGGGGGGGGGGGGGGGGGGGGGGGGCGCGCGCGGGGGGGGGGGGGGGGGGGGGGGGGGGGGGGGTGAAGAGCCGGAGCCCCTACGGGACCGGACCGGACGGGGCGGGGTGGGGGCTGGAAAGCTGTGAGGGTGTTTTGCGGTCGGAAACTCCTCCCGGGCCGTTGATTTCTGTTATGTTTTGGGGTTTTTTTTGCTAAGTGTACGGTGGGGGAGAAGGGCTGCCCCGCGGATTCCCGGCTCCCGCAGGAGGGAGACCCCCACCCCCAGCCCCGCCGCTGCCCAGGCTGCCGGGAAACCGGCCGGGAACCGGCTCCGGGCTGGGTTTGAGGAGCTGAGAGGTCCCTCTTGGCGCTGTCCCTCTCCTCTGGCTTTCCCGAGGCTTCCCGAGGTGGGGCTGTTGGCAGGAGAAGGGCTGTAGCTGAAAAATCTCCGCATGTTGGTATGTTGTTTGCCACAAGGAGAGCGGGGGGGGGGGAAAAACCAGAGGCTGCGGCGCTTGGCAGCGGACGGAGTGACTCTGGGAGCTGGCGTGATTCCTCGCATAACTTCTGCAGAGCAGGGGAATTGCACCAGCGGCCAGAGCCCTGTTTCTCTTTTCGTTTCTGAAGTGGATTAACCCAGCTCCGGGGATGCTGCCCGTGCTCAGGCCGCTCAGGGCAGAAGCAGAATGTACCTGTTAACGCCGTCTTGGGGTTTGATTTTAATTTGTTTGCCGTTTGGGGTGTTTTTTAGGTGCAGTTATGTGTTTTGCTCTAAGGTATTTCAAGTGTGTAGAGTGCTGCGGAGCATCCGGTTATTCAAAAATGGATGTGTGCGTAGCACTCGCGGTGTCCCCAGTTGCTTAAGTAACCACGTAAATGACTTGATTGGACAGGAAGGGGGAGAAGCTGTTATTTTGTGTATGTTTTCCCCTGTGAGAGGATGGAGAAGTTCTCCACTGCTCTCCCAGCGCCTCCCACCTTGCTAGCCTGACACCCCCCCCCTTGCAGAGAGTGGGGTTTGAGATTCTGGGTTTGAGATTTCCACCCTGGGTGGATTCTGGGTCCGAGATTTCCACCCTGCGTACCGCTGTAAATCCATTGGACTTATTTCTGGGCCCTACCTGTGTGATGGCGGGCTCTGTTCTCTGCGAGGGGGAACAGCACCAGAGGGTCTCTGCCGGGCTCTACCCTCCAAGGATGTTTTCTGACGGGTGTTTAGAGTGAGACGGGTCTTTTTCTATTGTCCTGCCAGATCTCTAAACTCTAGGGGGATGCGGGGAGTGGGGATGTCGCGCCTCATTTAAAAGTGCTGATATCTTTCCCTCTCCCTTACCTTCTTTGGGTGGCGGGGGCCGCAGCCCGCTCCCCGGCGGGTGTCCCCCGGCTTTCCCCTGCCCGCGGCGGGGAGGTGGCAGCTCGGCTCCGCCGGCCCCGGGGGACACCCGCCGCCACTCGCGGGCCCCGAGTGCCCTCTGCAGACGGCGGGGATGGGCGCAGGGCTGCCGGGGTGCGGGGAGCCCCGCCATCCCCTCGCTGCCCGCTCCGGGGTGCGGGCTGGCAGATGCTGGTGGTGCTGGGTGCCGGACGGGGGGCTGTCCGTTATCCATTATTATCCATTGCGGGTCCCATAACTAAAGTACTCTTCAGTGTGATTTTTAGTAGGGCTGAGCAGCAGTAAATTCGAAGTAACATGATCTTTTAAGCGTATGTGGCACCTGGGCCCCGGCTTTTGAGGATGCTGGGTAGGTCTGAAGCCAGCCTGCTTGTGGCCTGCAGGGCACAGACCTGCCAGCGTCGTTGTGAGTAAAATTTGACGTCCCAGAGCGTGGTAGTCCTTTCACTTGTTGGCTTTATGGGGCTCTGAAGAGTAGCTTGGCAGCCAGGCTGGGGCATGTGCTGGGTCTGGAGGTGGACCCGGTCCTTGCTGGCCTGGCCTCCTGCCCCTCCCTGCGTGCTCCCTCCCATCGCCTAGGCATAGGAGCCCCTTGTGCATCCTAAAGCCATTCTCATTCCTTGGCCCCTCTCTCAAGTGAGGATAGTTCCTCTCCTGCCTCAAGATCCATCACAGCTTTTGCAAAATGTTAAACTGTTTTCACAGCTCTCTGAGGCGTCATTCGTGCAGTTGGAACCAGGTGGGATTATAGTCCCTTGCACTGGCTTTACTTGACAGTCCCAGGTAACGTACACCATTAGTCCATGAGCAGCTGGGAAGGAGTAAGCATCCTCAGTCTGCAGTGCTCAATTCCTGCCTGAGACCTACGGCCAGCAACCTTCACTTACCCTTTTCTCAGGAACAGGTGTACTTACTTCAGTAGAATCAGGAATGAGCAAAGCATCAGTCCAGGATTTGAAAAATCGAAACCCAATATAAGTAGATCATGATGTCTTCAGCTTGGTGAGGGGGTGAGGGTTAACTTTGCAACAGAGACGGAATAAAAATCAGGAGTAGTTTCTAAGCAATCACAGTGCCCTTCACAGTTTCAGTAATACTCTTTAAAATTACGCTGCTTCTGCTCTAAAGAAAATTACTTTGCAGAGTGTGCTTCTCTGCATAGAGAACACTTCATCATACCAGCGTTTTAGTGACTGGCCACAGCCTTGTGTAACTTCACTGAGTTGAAACATAAAAATCTCATTTAACTAAGTGACGCTGAAGCAAAGCTTTGGATGTAAGAAGAGATTGCATGGGGCATGTCTGGTCGTTAGAAAATTCTTGGGGTAAACATGGTTTCTTAATGTCCTGTTTAAAAGCAGATGTCCTGCTGCCTACAGTAAAGCTCAATATATTTAACCCAACAAAAACACCTGACAAAAGCACAGGCTTTTGTGTGTTAGCACTCAGTCATATGCATTTGTGTATATTTTTATATATATACAAATGTGTTTGCATATGTATGTGAGTTTGTGTATGTGTGTGTGTTTATCTTAGGCTGTCTGAAGGAAGGTGAATATTAACTGTGCCTTTTATCTGGAGGAAGTGGTAAAATGTTGCAGACCAAATTTGCATTGCATTGAAGGAGTCCAGAGTTCCTACAGATTTGCCTAAGGAGCATTAAAAGGACTAGCATTATCCTACAGCTCAGTCAGGCTGCAGTACATTACATTTAAGGGATATGGTTGGGGAGCTTGAGCTTGAGCTATTTGATGTTATTAACTTTCTAAAAGAAGGTATTTTTTTATAAATGTCAGCAATATTAGAAAGAGTTGGTTGTTACCATTATTGCTGGTTTCAGCAAAAAGTTCATACTGAGCAGGAGTGTGCTCCTTTTCTTGCTCATCAACTGCAAAAGGCCCTCTCCTTTCCTTTCTCCACCCCCCATCTCCTTGGACTGACTTCCACAATGCTCTGCGTCTTCATATTTCTCAGATCTGCAGGGTGCTTTGAGATGACAGAAGAGAGGAGGGGAGGTGCAGTTTTCTGCAGTGGCTGTTCATCTTGCCCTTTCTTTGATAGGAGAAGAGGGGAGGTCTCCAGGGGGAAGTATGGCAGCCACACAATCTGGTCTTGTCTTTGATAACTAATAACAACACGTGGCAAAGTGTACTCCCTGCATCTGGAGTGTAAGGGCCAAGGACGTTCAACGACACAGGGCATCTTACTAGTAAGCTGGTAAACAAGATTAGATATGTGCATACCTGCAGGGTGACTAAATATGATTCACTGTGATGTTACCAGTAACTTGCTAGTATTTCATTTGTGTCTGAAATGTGCCCATCCCTTGCTCCAGGCAAATGCACGAAAGAGGATCACAGAAAAACAGAGGTTAGTTCACTCTTAGCAGAGCTAGAATGCAGGCTAATGTTACTCATCTGTCTGTTTCTATATGCAAAATAATCAGCTTTTGTATTCAAATCAGTCTTGATGAGAAAGGCAGCACTACGGACTTAAAAGCTGACTTAAAATTGATGATTTAGGAATAGTTACAACAAACCCAACAGATATTGGAAGTGAGGTATAAACCTGAAAAAGTACTTTTTTTTTTTTTTTTTTTCTTTTTTTTCCCTCCTGTTTCCTCTATATACTACTTCTAAGGGGTTCTCACCTAAGATTTATCCTAGAACTTGATCCAGCTGCAGTGCAGTCAGCAGTCAGACACCTGCCTCTGACTTCAGCATGGGCAAGATCAGCCAGTGAAGTGCAGGACCAGGAAGCCAGAGGAGCACCTTTGCAGCCTTTCGAAGTTGGGGTCTGTTTTGCCCTTGGAGCGGCAGGGTGGTTTCTGACAATCCTCCTCTGCCACTGTTTTGTTGCCTTTGTCATCAGAATGGAGAAGCTCAGATGCTCTTCCAGTGTTGCTGTTCATATCACGCCTCTGTGTATCGCCTGGTTCTTCTCTGATTCTCTGAGCCATCAAGTCAGAAACTCTCTTCAGTCTTAGAGACTTTATTTTTTTACGGGGTGGGTTGTCTCTTCCCAAAGTGCTCATTTTCCTCCCCCTTCCTTCTTTCCATTCCTGCTCTGACTCATTCTGCTCTGTCGTGGCCTTTTTCCCTCTTGCTCTTCTTTCTGTTCTTTTCTCTCTGCTTCTCCAACTCGCTTTCCCTCAGCCGCTTGCTCTTCCCTTTCTTTGCCTCCAAGTTTCCCTCACCAGCTTGCTGCCATCCATGGTTATCTGTGGCTCTCCAGAACTTTTCCCTTCTGCCTTGCCAGTGCTCAACCTCTGTCCATCCATAGAAGCTCTCCAATAAAGCTGGAGATTTCCTATAGAAACTTTGCATCTGTAGCTTCCCTTATAGCGTGGAGGTAGTCACTTCACCTGCAGCA